TTTGATAATGTGTCCATACCGAAAGGTATAAAAATCTGCAAAAAATTTTTTTGCGTTGCATGTGTGCTTCAACACAAAGAAGGCACTCAAAAGGGCAAGCCATGTATAAAAACGAGTAGGTGAATGAGTGAGTGAGTGAGTCTGGCTTTATGCTGCTTTTAGCAATATCACGGCAGGGGACACCAGAAATGGGCTGCACACATTGTAACCATGTGGGGACTCAAACCCGAGTCTTCGGCATGATAAGTGAACACTTTAACCACTAGGCTACCCGAGCCCCAGTAGGTGAATGAGTTGGGTGGTGGTGGTAGCTGCACCATATGTGATCAATTTACCTCACTTCCTATCTACATAGATCACCTGTTAGTAAACATCTGAGGTTTTCATTACCTAAACTGACAGGTAAGTGGAGCAAGTTTAATTTTTATGTTACTTTGTGACAAATTTCATTTGGCTGAAAAATTAATTTGTCTTCAGTCCTACAAAATGCACATTCTTTCGTTTTTGTTCTAACACAATCAATCATAACATGCAAAAAGATAATCTCATTTTGAAATGAAATGCAACTTCTTGATGGAATTCACTTAAATATTGGATGGGGATTGAAATTAACTTGTACACATCGGCCTACACAAATACACCTTATACATAGGGTTGGCAGGAAATTAGGGTCTGAGTGATGAGTGACAAGACATTTTCAATGTTTTTTGAATATTGTAATATTCAAACCTGCAAATGACATCCAAGTCTGTAGTGTCTAACTTTACAATTTCCTTTCAAACTTGTTATTGGAAACAGTTTTAAATAAACCATGATATTTATTGTTTGGACAGAAAGCCTTATCATGGTGTTGCACTTGTATGAAGTTTGTAGTACTCAAGCTATATTTACTACAATTACATTGTTACTTGGGGTAGCTCAGTGGTTCAAGTGTTCACCGATCAGGCTGAAATCCCTTGGTTCAAGCCCCTACATAGTATTTGCTTGAAGTAATGTTCACATTTAGTGTTGTTACTTGGGGTAGCTTAGTAGTTTAGTGTTCACCAATCAGGATGTATTCCTTGGTTCAAGTCCCTACATCTATACTCTGCTTGAAGCCTATCTCTGGTGTTCCTGGACATAGCTTCAATATTGAAATAAGCTCACTTTATGGCTGAATCAGCAACTTAGTGACGATGGGCTGAAATATCATCTGGGGCCGTTGGTCTGTATTGGCTGTGCTGTATATGAAACTAAGTATCTGTCCACCACTAGACTAACAACTAGTCTCTGAAATGAACGTGTTTTACAGAAAAAAAGTTAATAGTAAAAAATTAAAAACATATAGTGAAAGGAGCAGTGAACTTTCTTCATTTTCCTGAAGCTGTGGAAATCTAGACTTGCCACATTTTCTAGACTCACATCAGCTTCCATGGATATATTTGCTTCAGGGTCTGTATGACAGACGAGTCCACCATCAGATGTTGGTGTGTCCTAAGGAGTAGGTGTCTACTTGGCACAGCACTGCACTCATACTGTAAGCAGGTTGGAATGCACCCCTGTTGTTATAGTGCCTGACTCTACCTATCCCTGGGAGACTACAGCGTGTTAGTTGAAGGTAGGTGGCCCTGTTGACATCCTTGACCCCAGGTCAGATGGTGGATCTGGGATTGGAGGGCTTATCTACCTTGGCCCTGCTGCAGCGCACCTTCACCGGCAGGCAAGCCCTGCATGGTCTACTTATTGACATAGCCACTACAAGCCTCAGTTAGAACAGTGCTTGATCCTTACGTCACCAGTACCTTGGAGTGTGGTTGTTCTGGTCCTCAATGGACCAATCAGGTCTGCTAATCACAAGGGTGTTTTTGATCTTAGTCATCTTGCAATTGCACCAGTGCATGTTGAGGTGTCTGTTTCACCAACAAGTGTAGCTAATTCTACTATGTTAAAGTATGGGAGCTGTGATGGTTGTAGCAGGAGAGTGGCTTTGTGAAACAGGGCCCAGGTATGGTCCTGTGTTGTTTCATAGGGTTATCCACTCCCGCCATTGCTCAGTGTATCACTGTATTGAAGCAAATGAACAATGAATTTGTCTTTAGTATCAACATGTACAAATGTGTAGTCAGTCTTCTACTACCAATAGGATGCCTGTCATTTCAGTGTTGACGGCAAATGTTAACATTTGAAAAAGAGACCATTTTAAGCATTTTCAAGTAAGCACTTGGCTATACATCTAGTGACACAGTTACAACTGCAGATAGTGTAGCAATACAAGGGAGGTAGCATGAAACAAAGTGTTGATAATATGATCATTTTTGCATTTTTCCACTTCAAACTTTCCACTATTGCCATGTTGGGACACCACAAATGGGCTTCGCATCTTGTAAATATGTAAGGAGAGTGAGTAGGGTTTTATGCCCCTTTTAGCATTATCCCTGCAATATCACGGTGGGGGACACCACAAATGGGCTTCACACATTGGACATTCACAGGTCCGGCATAATGAACAAATGCTTTAACCACTAGGCTACCCCGCCGCCCCACATATGTACGGAATCAAACCTAGGTCCGGCATTATGAGCAAATGCTGTGACCACTAGGCTACCCCGCTGCCCCACATATGTACGGAATCAAACCTAGGTCCGGCATTATGAGCAAATGCTGTGACCACTAGGCTACCCCGCCGCCCCACATACCCACGGAATCAAACCTAGGTCCGGCATTATGAGCAAATGCTGTGACCACTAGGCTACCCCGCTGCCCCACATATGTACGGAATCAAACCTAGGTCCGCATTATGAGCAAATGCTGTGACCACTAGGCTACCCCGCCGCCCCACGGAATCAAACCTAGGTCCGGCATTATGAGCAAATGCTTTAACCACTAGGCTACCCCGCCGCCCCACATATGTACGGAATCAAACCTAGGTCCGGCATTATGAGCAAATGCTGTGACCACTAGGCTACCCCGCCGTCCCACGGAATCAAACCTAGGTCTGGCATTATGAGCAAATGCTTTAACCACCACTAGGGAATCAAACCTAGGTCCGCATTATGAGCAAATGCTTTAACCACCCACATATGTACGGAATCAAACCTAGGTCTGGCATTATGAGCAAATGCTTTAACCACTAGGCTACCCCTCCGCCCCACATATGTACGGAATCAAACCTAGATCCGGCATTATGAGCAAATGCTTTGACCACTAGGCTACCCCTCCGCCCCACATATGTACGGAATCAAATCTAGGTCCGACATTATGAGCAAATGCTGTGACCACAAGGCTACCCCTCTGCCCCACATATGTATGGAATCAAACCTAGGTCCGGCATAATGAGCAAATGCTGTGACCACAAGGCTACCCCTCCGCCCCACATATGTACGGAATCAAACCTAGGTCCGGCATTATGAGCAAATGCTTTGACCACTAGGCTACCCTGCCACCCCACATATGCACGGAATCAAACCTAGGTCCGGCATTATGAGCAAATGCTTTAACCACTAGGCTACCCCGCTACCCCACATATGTACGGAATCAAACCTAGGTTCGGCATAATGAGCAAATGCTTTGACCACTAGGCTACCCCTCCGCCCCACATATGTACGGAATCAAACCTAGGTCCGGCATTATGAGCAAATGCTTTGACCACTAGGCTACCCCTCCGCCCCACATATGTACGGAATCAAACCTAGGTCCGGCATTATGAGCAAATGCTTTGACCACTAGGCTACCCCACCATCCCACATATGTACGGAGTCAAACCTAGGTCTGGCATAATGAGCAAATGCTTTGACCACTAGGCTACCCCTCCGTCCCCACATATGTACGGAATCAAACCTAGGTCCGCATTATGAGCAAATGCTTTGACCACTAGGCTACCCTGCCACCCGACATATGCACGGAATCAAACCTAGGTCCGCATTATGAGCAAATGCTTTAACCATGGCTACCCTCCCGCCCCACATATGTACGGAATCAAACCTAGGTCCGGCATTATGAGCAAATGCTTTGACCACTAGGCTACCCCTCCGCCCCACATATGTACGGAATCAAACCTAGGTCTGGCATAATGAGCAAATGCTTTGACCACTAGGCTACCCTCCTCCCCCACATATATGCGAATCAAACCTAGGTCCGCATTATGAGCAAATGCTTTGACCACTAGGCTACTCCCCACCGCCCACATATGTGTCGCGAATCAAACCTAGGTCCGGCATTATGAGCAAATGCTTTGACCACTAGGCTACCCCTCCACCCCACATATGTAATGGAGTCAAACCTAGGTCCGCATTATGAGCAAATGCTGTGACCACTAGGCTACCCTCAAATGCCCACATATGTACAGAATCAAACCTAGGTCCGGCATTATGAGCAAATGCTGCTTTTGACCACTAGGCTACCCCCTGCCACCCCACATATGTACGGAATCAAACCTAGGTCCGGCATTATGAGCAAATGCTTTGACCACTAGGCTACCCCGCTACCCCACATATGTACGGAATCAAACCTAGGTCTGGCATTATGAGCAAATGCTTTGACCACTAGGCTACCCCTCCGCCCCACATATGTACGGAATCAAACCTAGGTCCGGCATTATGAGCAAATGCTTTGACCACTAGGCTACCCCTCCGCCCCACATATGTACGGAGTCAAACCTAGGTTCGGCATAATGAGCAAATGCTTTGACCACTAGGCTACCCCTCCGCCCCACATATGTACGAGAATCAAACCTAGGTCCGGCATTATGAGCAAATGCTTTGACCACTAGGCTACCCCCCAATCACCCACCCACATGTACGGAGTCAAACCTTGGTCCGGCATTATGAGCAAATGCTTTGACCACTAGGCTACCCCTCCGCCCCACATATGTACGGAGTCAAACCTTGGTCAGGCATTATGAGCAAATGCTTTGACCACTAGGCTACTCACCCGGTTTCCACTGTGCCAATGTTATGTACAAACACAGACAGACAACTCTGCATGCATCCACTCACACAGATTTAAAACTACCGAGAGGTCCATTGTCTTTATGGTTTATTGCCATATATTTTGAAAGGTACACTTTGAAAGTGAGTTGCATCTTCTGCATTCATTTACAACATTTGATATATACTGAAAACAATGTTTGTTTCCTTACAAAAACAATTCATAATTCTGAGACATTCACAAAGCACAGAACATTTGGAATTTTATATTGGAGAAAAAGGCATTTGTATAATATAGAAATAAGCAGAGGTAGATCATATTGGGATTGCTACAAGGCTCTTCCGAGTTCCGTCGGGGAACTTTCAGTCTGTGTACCCTGTGTGAAGAGACATTTGATTTAACTGTGACTTACTGCTTGGAAACATCAAGTACTGACTGAATCTGGCCTTCATAGCAAAACCCGTACCACTTCCTGTTTCACCAATTGGATCTCTATAATGCTCAAGATCAGAACAGAATATTATTTGTGATCAACACAAAAACAACGAACAGTTAGTCAGTAGAAACAGACTGCAAAATATATGCAATGTCGCATAGAGTGGGAAAGTTTATATATATATATCTATATATATTGTCAAACTTCAAGAGTGAAATTTAACATTTTGCATAACATGGAAGAATAGCTTAAACAGTGGGAACTTTGTGTAATCATAACTGTAATGAACTTAAAGAAGACATACATATTCTAATTATCCTACTTCAAAATTATGTGAAATGTTTAATTATATTTATAGTTCATACAAGACAAGATTAGGTGAGGAGAGAGATTATATATTGCAGAAAAGATCCTTGACAAAGTTGTACTCTAATTTCAAGTCTGATTCAAGATAAAGGTTCCAGAAAAAACAGTAATAGCCACAAGTTTAAATGTGGAAACATGTCTTTCCTATAGATAAACTACCTCAATATAAAAATGGTTGACAATAATTAGTCTTGTAATTTTTTCTTTAATGAAATAATTGCATAAGGCAAAATAATTCTGTTCATGACTGATACCAAACTTTCCAAAATACAGTAGAGAAACCCAACTTAATCTTGTTCAACCAATAACATTTTTATATATTTTTTGCGTATTTAGGATAAAAATTCTGAATAAAATAGACCAGAATAATAACTGAAATCAAATGAATTTCTTTGAAAACTTTTGTATTGAGGTATAAATTGCAAAAATACAAGAAACAGTGAAGACAATTCAACAAATATATCTTCAAAGCTGTAACGCAAAAAAGTGCACTGCTGTAGATGTAGCATGAAAATGCTGATAAATTATGCAAAAAGCTTGGAAAAAAAAGAGAAAAAGTATTCAACATTCCTGAATATGCCATGACTTTGAAAGAATTACAGAAAATATCTATACATGACTTATTTTGAAGGTAAACCAATGAAAGTGATTACATCTCTGAACATTAAGGCAAATATGGTCTTAACCCATGGTCTCAATGCTAAACTGCATATGCCATATTCATAATCTTTTTTCAACAATGTTCGTTAGATAGTTTAAGCTATGAGCTGACAGATTCCTGTCAAGGTAAATGCAGATCTGTTTGCCTCAGAAGACACTTGATGATGAGCAGGGCTTCCACAACCATAATTGAGTAATGAATTCCACTGAAATATTCAACAAATGAAATCTATAGGTTTTTGTTATTTGCTGAAACCTTACATTTCAAATTACTTTACCTCTAGTATTACTGAATGATTCAGAAAGTCTTGATACCAACATACACCTGAACTTGTGTGTATGGTATTTCATATTTTGACGTGTTGGCTGCGTAGATTACATTTGCTCAGACAAATATTATGTACCATATTTGAGAGTCCTGGAGCGTCATCACTGAGAGATGATAAAATTAATAGATGGGAATTATTATGTTTATTTCAATTGCGCATATGCATAACAAAAAGTGTTATAAATCTGAATTATTTCAATAACCTTCCTTGAGCATGTGATGAATCTTCAAAATACTACAGGTAGGAAAATACTATGAGATTTATACACTTGTTATTACTCTTGCATACATCGACTATCTGAAAACTGGCCGAGAAATATCGTGTGCGACAATTTACACAAACAAAAATTGAGCGACAAAGCATTTTTACAGCACCAATGCAAGCAGACAAAATCCACCCATTCCTTGCCCAGGGAAGTTGTCCATTCTCACACAAAGTCTCCAAAATATGTTCACTCCTTGCAAAGTTCAAGGTATTCACAAACAGTGTGGGTGTGGCTTTGAACAGGTCTGTCTCCTCGACAATCAGAGCAGAGTCACAGTTTTTCCCTGAATTGCCTCAGTCCAACCAATGATGTATTTCTCCTTGGTATAAACTTGACATCTGTCTGCAAGCTATCTACGGCCAAGCACAAGCTTTATATACAGCTCCGCACACAATACGTTGAGGTAATGAGTTTTGATAGATTCAGAGCTGACAGAGGAGAGAAAGAGATTTGTGGCTATGTACAAATTCTATAGTTTTTATGCTAGAGTTTGCACATTTGTCTTTTCCCACAACGCTTGTTCTTGTTTCCATTGAAGAGTTGGTGACAGTGGCGCCACCTGCCAGTTGGCGGACAGTGTTATTCTGAGTGGTTCCCGGCCATGTCCGTGGCATCGGCTCGGCATATAGGGCAGGTTCGGTTGGTCTGGAAATAACAACAGTTTGTTCAGTGCTATTCTCGTAAATAGGGATTTATTAAATTAGATGCTAAAATATTGAAATGTGAATGTTGTGAAATGCAGGTGAACGTGTATTTATTCAACATTTTGTTACACAAGACAATAGTTTGACTTTCACCCTCAAGTAATGGCTGAAGTCACATTTGCACCCATATACTAGTACATTCTTTATTTGCTAACTGGACTTCACCTCCGACTATAGGTAACTATTTTATTGCGTAGCAAATATTGAGCAGTGAATGAATGAGATGATATAGCTGGCTGGCTGGCTGGCTGGCTGAGTATGGTTTTATGCCGTTTTTAGCAATATTCCAGCAATATCACGGCTGGGGACACCAGAAATGGGCTTCACAAGTTGTACCCATGTGGGGAATCGAACCTGGGCCTTTGGCGTGACGAGCGAACGCTTTAACCAATAGGCTACCCAACCGCCCCGAGATGATATAGAGAAGGTGCTACATGTGTGAGAAATAGAGGATACTAGTTAATGATCTGGTATACTAAATCTTTCACGAGTAAACAAAAATGGTATTTCACGGGAGCGAGTTTAGTATTCTGTATATTAAACAAAATAGTGTGTATTCACAGCTTTCTGTATATTACTCCAACACGATAGAAGCGAAAGTTATAGTATTCTGTATATTACTGTCCAACATAGATGATAGAAACTGTCTATATGATGACTGTGATGACTCTCCAACATAGATGATAGAAACTGTCTATAGTGTGATGACTCACAGCTTTCTGCGAGTCAAGCAAGGTCTAATACCATTGTGATGTCATAACTGTAAACCATTATGACGTCATACATCTAGCGGTATTACACTAGTGTAATATTGCCGTAAAAATATTTCACCGCAGTATCTTCCACAGGTGAAAAAGGCTAAAATAGACGGCTGTAATCTGTCTTCTGTCAGTCAATCCTACTACGAGGAGATTCAATGTTTTAAGTACTGGTATCACTGGCAGACTCACCTTGAGCCATTTGTCTACACATTTCGTGTGGAACTCGTGGCCACACGGAAGCACCCTCAGGAGCTGGCGACTCTCGAAGTCACACATGCACACCACACACGATGTCTGGTCCAGGTCGGAGCGAGGTGTTTCACTGTTGAAGTAGTATGCAGGTAGTTGTTTGATGTCGGCCTTAGAAAGACCTCTCGGTTTGGCCTCTCCCAGTCTCTCAGCTAAACTCAACAGGGCCTGCAGGAAATAGTATACACATAAGTAAAAGACACAGACATCAGGGTAAGTGCACCAAGGGTTCCTATATTTGTGATACTGAAGACCATGTTGGGGCACTCCTTCAATAATAACTATCCAAACTGTAGCACATATCCATCCAAGAATTTGTTTACACCTTGAAGTGTGATGTTATATTTTACTGCTTGATAACATTGAATTCACACAGCAAACGCGTGTTGCGAGCATCAGCAAGCGAAGAAACAAAATATACACGTACACCTACCTCGTAGTTTTCCTCCGTCGCCTCATCTGGGGGATCTCGGCCGTAAGGAGGCACAGGGGGGTTACCCAACATGGCTCTAGAGAAGAAAGAAAAAATATGTGTCAAACAAAGATGTATGCAGTAACGACACTCATCAAGACCCGGGTTTGATTCCCCACATGGGTACAACAAGTGAAACCCATTTCTGGTGTCCCCCCGCCATGATATTGCTAGAATATTGCTGAAGGCAGCTTAAAACTACTCACTCATCAAGACAATAAATCAATAACTGATAATGAAAGTGACTTCAGCAACTAGTTGGAGTCAAATTTGTCTGCCTGGTAAGATCAGCTGACACAAGCCCAAACTTCAATCTAAAATCCACTGAAATGATGCACAATGCAGACAGTGAAAGGCTACTAAGTTTACCACCACAGCAAGATGAAATGGCTTACAGGAAGTGAAGAAGGAATCCTGGGTAGGGAGGTGGTGGTGGTGGTAGTGATCCACGTAACCGACTGCGTCCTGCAGCTCTTCTTGCGTAATAGAGCTGATATGGACCCTGAAAGTAATACATTTTGTAAAAAATTTACATATAAAACACCAGAAATTATTATATCAAAGACAATGCAACACAATTTTTAAGTTCGAAATTAAATTAGATTACAAAATCTAATGTAGGGAGGTGTGCTGGCGATTAGGGTGTGGGTTCGAACCTCGGATGGGACTCAGCCCCCCAAAAAGTACTAGAATTTGTACTTTACTAAGAAAGTGTAATCCCAAATATAACATGTTACATTTGACCACTTTCTAAATGGCATAAGTTAATTAAAATCTAATATGCGAAAAATTTTTTAGAGCATTTCTTCAAGATAATCCTAAAATACCAATCTGCTTTCCTCTTACCATATATATATCATGCGGTGTTGGGTGCACAACTGGCTCTTGTAAAATGACTGGAGGGGAGGGGTTAAGTGTCGCCCCAGGGTGAATACTAGGGGGGATGGGGTAGTGTGGCCGGTGTTCTGCAATAATTTGCACGTCTTCATCCTGAAACAAAGAAGCCAAGTTTTATTCAAAATCCATCATGTATTCTGAAACAATGGGAAAATTTGGTGGTCTGATTTATTATTATTTCAATCAATATAGAGTTGTATACTCCCCAGGGAGTTGAGATTGATAATACGATGTGCCGTTGAGATTGACATCCAATGATTGAGGGAAAAATACCAGTGCTTTGAGTATGCTCCAGTTGCCTGGATATGTGCGCTATTTAAATATCCTATGATAATAATAATAATAATAATAATAATAATTGTTTTCACCTACCCGCATCTGAGGTTGTGGGACATGAGGAAACTGTGCATGTCCAGCGTGCGTCAAGCCATGGTGGTGTGGCATCGGATGGTGAGGGGGTGGGTGGTGCGTGTGGTGCAGTATCGGTGGTATTGTATGTGGAACCGGCATCTGCTGCAGACTGCACGCTGGAATGTGCTGCATGCTGCACGACGGCAGCTGCACCGTACATGCAGGAATGGACCATGTTGGCTGCGTGTTGCACATCTGCATGTGTGCGGCACTACACACGGGCATATGATGTGGACCGGTGCACACAGGGATGGCATATGGCGTCATGGTAACAGGTGCAGACACTTGAACCTGTGGCGCAAAAAATAACTAAAATATATATGAAAAGATGTGGTTGAGAATTAATGATGAAGAAACATTAGATCAACAGGTTCTCATTAATAGTTAATGCCTGCCTGCTAATTTTCCCATGAATAATGTATACATTAATTCACAGACTGACACAAGGTTAGATGATACAACGAGTTGGACCAAGGCATCTCATTTCATACTATTGTTATCAATTTCCGGAAACATTTACAGAGACAAGCAGAAAATTGAATCTATTAATAATGCATGAGTATTTTCAAAATTAAAGCTGTTAGGTTCTTTCACATACAATAATATCTATGAAAGGATGTGACCCTTTACATTATCACAAATGAAGCAACATCATGAAGGTTGATAAAGCGTACCTGATCTACATCAATGACGACGGGATGCTGGGGGGACTGGCCAGGCAGGACGGCCGCAGGATGGAGTTGTCTCCCTGTCAACACAGGGGGTTGGAAGGCCCGGCGTTCAGGAGATTCTGACTGCCGTAATGTGTTGCGTTCACGAGTTGTCCTCCGTCTAGTTCCAGGGCTGCAATAAAAGCGGGTATTGTACAACCTATCGTTATGTTAATACCAACATATACAACATCACTGGATGCGAGCATACAACAGTCAAACAAAATTCTTCCTACAGTGGTGACTGAAAGTCCAGTCCATGCACTGCATGTAGTTTGTGAAAGAGCTGCACTAGTCAAGAATGAGTTCAGCTAATATTCACCTAATTGTTACAAACATGGCGACTGGAATACAGAAAAGATGAAATTCATGCTGAAATATTCTGTTCATAACTAACTAACAATTCCCAGCATGTGACTGCATTATTATCAGCAGCCTCACATATGAAGCAACACATGCCCATCACAAACACGGCCAGCTGTGACACACTCCAGCCACACATGTTCCAAAGTAAACAACCAAACTCGTCAATGAATACCTGGAAAATTTCGACACTAATCCGTTCTGATATTCCATCAGTATCCTCCTGGCTGTAATGGCCACATCCCTGCTGAATTTACGCTGCAGTCGCTTTGAATCCAGCTGAATATTTGTGGTTCTTGCAAGGTCTCTTAAGTGAGAGGCCAGCATGGGAGTTACCTCCCCTATGTCAACTTGTCTCAGCAAGATCAATGCCGAGTCTACCAAATGTTTTTGTTTTGACACCAGCTTCTGAACAAAGCTGGTGAGAGTGGATCTCAGTACACATTCAACTGGCTGGCCCAATATGCGAGAAATGATCTCCAGCTTCTGCTGAACTTTCTGCATCTTCCTGTCCACACATATTCTGACGTACAACCAAAGGTACAACTCAAACATATACTGGGAGTGCAGCTCTTGATAGAACTGAATCAAGTTATGTTGCGAACACAGTTGGTAAAGATGTTCTAACACCATATCATCCACGGATCCATCCACACTGATCAGACCAACATCCCTCAGATGCCTATCGAATGATGAATCCCTTTGTCCATACAAAGGTATCCCACCTTCAGCACGAACTGGGCGACAAGACTCCGCTAGACCAGCCATTACTGGCCGGGTAGGGACAATGGGAGTAGAGGCTTGCCTCTCGTTTAATTCAAACAGTGGATACAACAGATTCAGCCAAAAGACACAATGGGAAGGACAATAGTCTATTTGTGGCCAGCTCACAGTGTGTGCAAGTGTAAGCAAGTCATGCGAATCCGTTGATGAGATGTTTCGACCCGTCAAAGCTGTCAATCTCCCTACACATTGTGTAGGTCGTCGCACCCCACTCACAGCATGTGCGGCATATTGCTCGGGGACCTCATACAATCCTTTATTTAGGGTGGTATTCAAATTGTGAGCATAGCTCCATCCATCAATATAACATGTCTCCACAGAGTCACAGCTGTGCTGCAAGTCCAGCAGTTTACTTCCTCCTAAATCCTCCCTGGAGGACTCACAAAGATCTCGGCCATTACAAACCCCATATTGAGCTGGTAATAACGAATCAGAGGAAAGGTAATATATCCTTTCAGCAACTTCTTGTAACCTTTCTTCAGACAGTACAGAACTGATGTTTGTCCTTGATCTTTGGGATGATAAAATATCCCAAGCTATGTCAGAAACTTGACGGAAAGCTGTAGACCAAATCTGAGATTCGGTTGAACGGCCCGTATCAAACTCCATACGAGGAATTATAGCACACAGGCTCATTCAGGCTTGACCATACAGGTCTCCACAGAGGATCAGTGATAACTGAAGTAAAAGCTGTACTCCAACGGATTCAACTGCTGATAGAGGCATGGTACTCCCTGATTCACTAGCAATGATTCAGAAGGGGAACTTTCCCTGAACACAAGCTGAATCATAACGGCATCCCTTGCCCATGGAACACATTTCATAATTCCTGACTAATAAGCCATTGACTCATTAGTAGTGAAAGCCTGCATGACTAAGTCGTCACTGTAGTTGACTGTAATGAACATAAACATAGGCTGTGAAGAATAGTAACTAGCTAACAAGTCAAGTTTTCATCTACAACACTGGTTGGCAATTCCAAAGCGTAAATTAACCTACACTGGTATTTATTCTGTGATTGTAATTACAAAAATTACATGATCAGAAATGTCAATGCAATTTCCACTGTTGGCTACTTAGAAAAAGGTTGTTTGTTTCGAAACCTTAAAAAACATTCACACATAATATTTGCTTGTGGTGGTATACAGCATGCCAGTGCACATAGGCAGGGAAAACATGAAAACACATGTCAGATGTGACATCACGCCACAATGATTCAGCTCTACAAGTGACATCACCACCTTCAAATGACATCACAAAGGACTATACACTCCCTGATCCTTCAAGAGTTCTCTCCCTTCACCCAGCACCGTAATAAGCTTAACAACACTCACTGAAGCATGCATGAAGCCATTAAACCACGAAGCCATTCAACTGAACAAAAATATTCTCAAGGATGTTTTTTCAAAGACCCCTCTAAAATCTTCTACGCAGTGACATTCTAGAATGTGGGCAGCTTCCATCAATCCAGAATAAAGTAACGTATGCTTGAATTTCCCTGAAACTATCCCCATTATGTAGTGATCTGGCGACATGCCAGATATGTGTGTGGTTTCAACATTGAATGGAAAAAAGAGCTCCATGTTGTTTCAAAGGGATGTGATAAATATTAGCCAGGCCACATGAGACTATAATCATTCGATTTATCCAGCTTGCATAAGCAGAGAAACTTTAGCCCAGCACAGTATGTGCGTCCAGGTGTCCTTCACCTTCATATTACAACAGGCTGTTGGGGCCCTACATGGCGGAGTCATTACCTGCATCGAAATATCCTTCACAATGGCCCACCGAGTACTGACCCATCCTGACCTTTTAATCCAGACTGATGGATTAACAAGGGCTCTCCATAAAGAAGGAAGTGTTCATGGTCTAACGGCTAAGCCTAACAAAAGTATTGGAGGACACTGAGAGGGAAACTCAAGTACTGAATACTGAGAATAATTCATTACATTCATTTATCAGACTATGAAATGTTTGACATTATCTCATCATACTCATAATTTTGCTTCCCAAACCATCAATCACACTGACATTGCCTAATTTGCATAGAGCTAAGTAATGAATTTTGCCATACACATGATGGAAGAAAAGTACATGAAATTGATTGCAATTGACAAAATAGCTGGCATTTTTCTCAAAGCTTAAACTGAGCCCAAATCAGCTTATTTGTTCTTATTTCAGCTTAGAAAAGGCATAAATATTTAATAGATTTTCTTCTGCTTCATGCAGCTAGCTAAGAAAGTTTTTGAGAGCTAGACTTTGGCTGAAACTCAAAATTTCCAGCATCTTGAAAACATCACCCGAGGAAATGCACAAATTATCAAAGCTGCAACCACAAGCTGAGCTGAGTGGAGAGAAAGCGGCCAACAGCTGAACACTAGTCAAGTACCTCACTATACCATCACCATCTGTATAACAACAAATCAGCCTCAGTATAACACTCTCCCTGCCAATGACCTTGCCTCTGCAGAATACAGCAAACCTCCATTATATGGATTCCTAGCCTTTCCATATTCTCCACTATAGGGCGACTGGCAATCAGGGTAGGGCTTCACAGCTTGCAACACTAGTAAGTGGGGGGGGGGGGCCTTTCTAGCTTGGCGGTTATGATTGTTGACTAACACATGACACATTATTTAGAACAATTCAATTCTCTCCTCTAAATTCTTCTTTTGTATGATGTGGATTTTATACAAATTTGTCAAAAAGATCTTGTTAGACATGCAGTGTTCATAAACTAGATTATTTTTGATTTCATAAAATATTATATTCCAAATTTATACAGCAGGACTTTCAATACTCGAGTACAAACCTTAACCTTGCATGTTATTGATCCTGAATTGTTAAGTTTCAAGAGATAGCTTTTATAGGTATGTCATTTGTAACTACAAAAAAGGAGTAAAGTAGTATCCTGCTACCCGATAAGATGATAAATAAACTAATTTACACAACAGTCAAATGAAACCAAGGACCACATGTTTGTTACGATCTCAAGAAAGAACTAAAGTATTCACTCTGACATTGAGTCTCACATCCTGCCGCACCAACTTGGGCATCAAATTGTTTGATTGCGTTCTAGGAGTAACAAGACGTTGTTGTCATCCATATAGTTGTATGTTTCATTTTTGGACATCAAAGTTGGGTCTTAGGATACAGTTTAGACCGAGCCAAAACATATATGCCTGAATCTTGGAGGTTGTTACAAAGCATACTCCTTCCCTGTTGATAAGCAAAGGCCATATACTCCACCACATCACCTGATGACCCCCAGCTAAACTCCAATGACCCTTCCCCAGTGAAATTACCCCTAAGTGTAGCTCATTAGGGATATTAAGCTGAGGATCAAACTCTTATTGCCTTGTAGCAGAATTACAAGAACAAAGAAAGCAGAGTTTTTCCCCACACAACCCACAGGGAGTAATTTTATATCCCGGTTAGCATATGTTACATCTTTAAGAGTAGCGGCTATTTCAATAATTTTGTAACCGTTTCATTTAAACAGAAATTCTGGGAAATAATCAATAAAACCTGTTATTTATAATTTCTGACATTTTCCGAAGTAATCCCCACAACACAGTATCCCACAGCTGGGATGTTAATTCCAAACAGGGGATATTCACGGTGGAAAAAAATCAATTGATTTTACCATATTCCAAACAATGGCCGACTTGTGCAATTAAATATTCTTTATCACTAATCGATAATTGTTCTATTATGTAGAACTGTCCAAAGAGGGTATTTCTTTACATGAAAAGAAACTGTTGCCATGTAACATATTTCAGCAGTATTATGAAAAGTGTTCATATTTCATTGAAATAATTTTTGAACAAACTGTTTCTGAACTTCAATTAAATAGAGGGAACTTCACTAAATGAAATGGTTACAATTGGGATATTTTGTTTAAAAAAAAAGATGGCTGACAGAAAATAGGATTAGCTCCCTCAGCTTGGTGGCTTGGAAGGACTGTCTCAACTCAGAAAATTTGGTGTTGGTCGTGAATTAATTCAACATGTCACGGCAAGGAGATGGATGGCCCAAACCAGCCAAGCCCATTGGCATATGAGTGGTTTCCCTTTTAACTTGTAGCCAATCAGAGGGGTCTGTGAATCACATAGGAGCACGATTTATTTACAGATGCGGGTCAAATCACCCTGAAGCAAGTTTCTAATGGAATCCGGTCTCCCATCTTTTTTTCCTATAGGGTTTTATCAGAACACAGTTCGCCTCTGTAGACAGCTTCAAGCTTAAATCTGGGTAGCTAAAAAGATTGGACTGATGCGGAATGGGATTTGTGACCCTAAAACACATAAATTACGTGAAACACATATCAGGAGTGGCCCTGGGTTATCTGCCTCCGGAGCATGAATATGAACTCAGAGGGACCTATCTTTCTGTTGGCAAACATATATTTTTAGAGATAGGAACAGAGGAATTTGCCCTTAAAACAGTCACTGTTTAGTCAACTTCGTACACTGGAAATACATCACCAAATACCTCATAGAACAATGTTTTATATAATCTTCTAGATGGCATTACATTTGGTTCTGATTCAAGTCCTGTTTTTATCAAAACATTTAAGTTCAAATTCCAGGCATCATTCCAGAGTAATTCCCCTGCCATTTTGTATCAAATTTGCCAAACTAAACCTATCTAAACAAAATTAAGTGAATGCATTCAACAAAAGGATTATTTTTTAAACTCAAAATCTTTTCAAAGTATAGAAATCTATAACCCAATACTTTTTTATCTCTTCTTTGTTCATCAAACAATGGAAGCAGAATAGAATTCCCTCAGGGAAAAAAAACTTCAACAAGATCCTTCATTTGTGCCACAATGCCTCCAGGCAGACTTTCAAAGTTATCTGATACCCCCCATGTGACATCATGGACTAGTCCAGCACAACAGATAGATTATACCATTGCATTGCACAAGGGCATATAGATAGGAAAATTAATTGATAACTTGTGTATAGGAGGAGCATAAAGATGTCACAAGGCTAACTTGGCATTCATGTGACATCAGGTATAGTTAATGTCAGATGTTATCAACTAATTTTAGCCAGGGCATTTTATTCTATAGTCTGTTTCAGGTATTTTCTGCAGCCAAGGACAGTGATTTATGAAGTATTTCAAGATAATGCCATAGCAATTGATCATGATTAATTCTTCGGAACATTGTCATGAACTTTGATGGTGATTCATAAAGGCCACAAAATGTGAAAATATTCAAGCTTTCATTGTTCTGAGAAGGTGTACAATATATCCACCAACATTTACTGGCGTGTTCCTCTACACTGGAACTTCAACAAGAAAGTCGTCTACCTCAGAGTGTTTAGGACATAGAGGTGGCTATGGAATGCTTCCTGAGGGCTTCCATACCAACAGTGTCATGTGACAAAAATAAAAATTGAATTTCACAGAAAACTCAAGCATAATAATTATAAGCAGACAGTTACCTATGACATCTATATAATAACTGACAACTATTTACTAGTGTTCCATATTTTGTAATACAGTTGACATTCAAGCAGACCATCATGTCCTAATGCTAAACCATGGGTTGACTTGAAGACTACCTTCAAAATACTCATAACACATAGGCGGATCAAGGGGGCTCGAACCCCACCTTGGCTCCGCCATTGCAAAACATTAACTTTAAT